GTTCCCTGATCCCCGTCAGACTCCACATTTTTATTATAAAACTCGAGCTGGGCCGAACGGTGCTGTCAGACGTTCATCACCTTGCTTTTATTTCCCAGCTATTCCCTACCCCTGCTGTCCCGGTGGTTGTTTGACCTGAGGATACAGAGAACAGTGCTGTCTGCTGTCCTCTTGTCTCTCTGCTTCCCCTGCACGGAGCCAGGCAGTGCCCAGCAGATCCTTATTCTGACAAAGTCTGGTTTGGTTTTGTTTGCATTTTAATAGAAACCTTTAAACAATTTTGTTTATCTTCTAAGGGATAAAAATAAGCAGGTGTGGCAGCCTTGAGGCCATTGACTTCAGTTGCTGCAGCTTTATTAATCAGCAGAATGTAGCTTGTTTGTTCTGTCCTTTTAAAAGAATCCCACCCTGCAGAAAGTGTTGGAAGAGAAGTCCCTGCGCAGCGTCTCCACGGGGGCTTCTCCAGGGAAAGGGAACCGTTCGGGGAGGTAGATTCCAGAGAACCGAACCCAGGAGGACTAGAAGTTCTCCCTCCCTCCTTCTCTTCGTCTGAGAGAGGCTCCCTCTGAATTCAGCGCAGTTTTGCAGATCAGGCAGCTGGGGTCTTGAAGGTGAAATGATAAGAGGTGGGCATCCCACTCTGCCTGCTCACCTTGGACAAGTCCCCTCGTGTCCCTTTCTCCTCCTCCTAAGTAAAGCTAGTGAGGGGATGGGATAACTGAGCAGGACTTTCTTAGTTTTGCTCTCCGTCAATAACAGAGTTTAGTTGTCATGTCACAGACTGGGGGAGGAGCTGGTAGCTCCTCAAATCGCTAGGTAGCAGAGGTGAAGACCCTGAAAGAGTATCAAAATGCAAAATGCTAACAATATTAGGTCATGTCATTGACACCCCAGCTGAAAGGAAATGTTAGGCTTTCCTAAAATTGGTGAATTCTTCCAAAGGCAGCAGCTAAAGGATGACTTGAGGTGGGGTGGTGGGGGAGGAGGTTTGCCTGCCACAGGACAACGACACCCTTTTCTCCTGTCTGCTCTGCTCAGCCCTTGCTCAGTCCCTCTGCAGTTAGATTACTCCTTGCAGATAGCAATCAACTGGAAGGAAGTGTGTGTGTCTAATTTGCATGAGATTATTTAAAACAAAAAAAAAAAGGTCTGCATTAGTCAGGGTGATGGTAAACAACGCAAAGAGATGCCTTTTATAATATAGCCTGTGCCTCAGCTTTCAGAGCCAAATATAATTCACTTACAATTGGCAGTTTCCTTTATTATTCCTTTTAACCTTTTGGATTCTGCACGGTCTCTATCTAATCTCTCCACTGTTTGTCTCAGTGGGGGTGGATGGAATCCCGGATATCTTCTGTGTGGCCCCTGGGCAATGCCCCATCCATCTGTAAGGGCATGGTCCTTTCAGCACCAGGAGCTGGTGACAGGGTAGGTAAGTGCTGCGTGCGGAGAGGAGTAACACTCCACCTCACCTCCAGCCCTCTGAGTCCCTGATGAATCACTTGAGTCCTGTAAAGTCAGTCTTCCCTAAGCTGGCAGACACTTCAGAGGAGAGGCACTAAGGGAAGCGTAGGCACCAGCCTGTGAGAGGCCTTGGATTTATTTGATTAGAATATGAGGAGATGAGGTCGTCCTACCCTTGTCACTTGGTGGTGTTCAAAAAATTGTCCAGGTGACATTTGCAAGTAAGATCCAGGCGTTAAGTCCCTGTGTCATTTTGGTATAGCCGCATTCATTGGCTGTTACCTGACCCTGATGCTGGGAAAGATTGAGAGCAGGAGGAGAAGTGGGTGGCAGAGGATGAGATGGTTGAATGGCATGACCGACTCAATGGACATGAATTTGAGTGAAGTCTGGGAGATAGTGGAGGCCAGAGGAACCCAGCATGCTGCAGTCCCTGGGGTCTCAAAGAGTTGGGCACAACTTAGTGACTGAACAACATAGACGGGGTGCCGGTGAGGGGAGTGGGGGAAGATAGGTCAGTCCTCATATTTTAACAAGATTGAAGGCTTCAGGCATCATTTTGGAGTCTGCCTTTTGATGTGCTATAACTTTGTGCCGTCATGGGAAGTCACCAGGCTGGAGATGGAGAGCCTGGGATTTCATCTGCTATCACCAGGCTTTTACTACTAGGATTTGAGGCATAGTGTTCATCCTCCTTAAACCTCAGTTCTTTTGTCTTTGTTTTTTAAATCTGTCAAATAAGGTCGGTGGTTCGAATGATGGCCCAGCTCTGAAATTATATTGTTCGTTGAGATTGTCAAAATGCTTCTTTTTTAAAAAAAAATAAGAAAAATAATTAATTTTCGGTAACTAAATCAAAAGCCTGCTTCTCCAGAGAACTGGGGATATCAGAACTCCAGCCAATGTAAATGTGATGCATCACATGATAAGGTCTCTGTGAAACAAGAGCTTGGAAGGAAGTGCTGATGCCCTTTAAGCCATGGCTGCTCTTGTGGGCTTGGCTGCAATAACGCAGGGAACACGTTTTATTAGGAAAATAGGCTTTGTCAGAGCTCCAGGTCAGAGGGCAGGTCCACGGGCAGGGAGTCCTATCGGCCCCAGCTCCCAGTGCCACAGCATAGCCTGTAACTTGCCGTATATTTCCCCAGCGCTAAACATTATCATACTTGTTTATATTTGAAAGAGCCGAAAGGGAAAATGAGAATGCAACCGAATGCTCCTTTTGGGAGAATTACCCTCATTTGCAGCCAGCGACTGACAGGGCTCACGAGCCACCAGGTTTATAAAGTCCCATCGTGAGCCAGTGACCAGCCACTCGTGCTGATGCTGCAGGCGTCCTGTCTCCTCTCGTGGTTGATAATGGGGGTGAAACTGTTGATGATGGGGGTGAAACAATGCTCTTCCTACTAGAACTCAGAATGGGGCTCCCCTCCTACCTGGAAGGACAGACGGGCAGTCAGCACCTGGGCTGGAGCCTGGGAGGCACTTGCTCGGGGAAGCGTGTTCTCTGTGTTTGCCCGGCTCGTCTGTCTGTCCTGCCCCTGTCCTTGGGAGGCTGCCTCACAGGAAAACAGGCTTTTTTCAACAAGCTGGGGTCTTAGGGAGGAGGAACATCCCCCGCTGGGCCCCACGTACTCAAATTCATCTCTTGTATTTGAAGGTGCCATGGCCTTCCCTGGTGGCTCAGACAATAAAGAATCTGTCCTTAATGCAGGAGACCCGGGTTTGATCCCTAGGTCTGGAAGAGCCCCTGGAGAAGGGAATGGCAACCCACTCCAGCATTCTTGCCTGGAAAATTCCATGGGCAGAGGAGACCACGGAGCCTGGCAGGCTATATACAGTCCATGGGGTTGCAAAGAGTCAGACACGACTGAGTGACTGAACAACGATAATAAGCGCCAGTGAATGGTTCCTTTGCCCCCTGCCAGCCTCTCTTCTGCCCCTGATGTCAGCCTATTGAGAGGATTCTGCACGTACTTGGGGGACCCAGCAGCCCTGGGATGGAGGAGTGACCTGGCCCATACTGGCTGGCTTGCCGGGTTGAAGAGGACAGGAGACGCAGTGTTAAATGGGGAGGAACCTCAAGTGCTCAATGCAGAGAGGAGAGATGGCCCAGGCCCATTTAGAGTCATCTAGGTATTCTCCCTTGACCACTTGTGGTGGGGTGTGAGGAGTTTGAGGGGCAGCTGCAGCCAGCTCGCTTGCCAGCATGGTGCAGGGCAGTGCTGAGCTTGGGCAGCACTTGAGCATTAATATGCTCTGGCTATTAGCCCCTTGGCACAGAGCGCAGGGCCCCACGCTTTGGAAGATGCTGATCCTTAGAACCTCCTTGTATTTCATCTACCCCCAGGGGCAGATAGACCATGCTGAGGGCCTCTAATGGGGAGCTGCTGAGCAGATGTGGACGCACTCTCAGCTCGAGTTTAAAAGCTCTGTGTGGCGGCTGGGTTGGATGCCGGCATTCCCAGAACAGCCAGAGTGCTTTGCAGACTAGCAGTGGCCTCCCACCTGCTTCTCCTACTCTCAGTGCCTGGAGTACTTCTGTGTGCAGGATTGCTTCCCTGACTGCCCTGTGGAATGATCGAACACCTGTGTGCCACTCTTGACAATCCTGAAGCTCTCGATCCATCGGTTGGGGCCCTCGTCTCTTCCCCGAGAGCCAGCATCCCCCATCTGCCTCCGACCTGTTGAAATATCCCAGCTGTGCGCCCACTGGACGTGTGGTCTTCATGGGTTTTTCAGTTGCCTTTTATTCTTCCATGGGCAAATCCTCTCCATGTGTCATAGCCACTGCAGATGGCGCCCTGCTATTTCCTCATGTCCCAAGTGCACTGTTGTTTAGAGTGTTGGGAGGATTTTTTTTTTTTTAAAGGAAAACGAAAAACTAGCCAAAGGCGATATAGGCAGCTTGTGATAGGCTAGAGTAATAATCATCTGAAAGTTTGGGCCTGGCCTTGTTTTGATCTGTTTTCTTGTTTTATTTTCTTCTTTACATTCTATATCCCATTCATACTAATCACAGTCAGTCCTGATTTTTCTTTTTATTTCTGCATTTGTCATAAAATAAAGCAAATTATTCCCGTCTTCAGAAACGATCTAGACTAATTAGTCGTCTCACCCAATAATTAGTTTTTTGTTTCCCTGTCTGTTTTCATGCATTATTGTTAGTTTTTTCCCCTCTTTTTTTAACACCATTACAGATTAAAATGAGCCACATTTGCAGTTGATGGTATCTGATTTCGGGGGAAGAATGGAGAATTGCAGTACGGAGCGACTTCAAAAGCAGCAATAAACTCAAGGATAAATTAAGGAAATTGAATGAGCCACATTTGGAAGCAGTGTTGAGGCTAATATTCTGTCGCTTAAGGTTAAATTGCAGCCGAGAGAGGTTCCGGAGAATCCGAAATCGGGGAAGCAACTTAGCAGGATGCTAGGCGTCCTGTGACTCCAAGGTCTTTTCTCAAATGAAGATTTTCTTGCAGCCATGGACAGTGGCAAAAGGCACTCACCTGCAATTATGTCCTCTTCTCCCTCAGGGCTGACAGATGAAGAGATCGATTTGGCTTTCCAACAGTCAGGCACGGCTGCCGATGAGCCTGCGTCCTTGGGCCCAGCCACACAGGTGGTTCCTGTCCAGCCCCCTCACCTCATTTCGCAGCCATACAGTAAGTCACCCGCTCAAGCTCCTGCTTTAACCTTGACTGGGATTCAGGACTCTGGCCAAAGGGTAGTGCTTCACGTCTCTCAGACTCAGCAAGCCAGGGGAGACTGGGCGTAGGAGATGACTCTTGGGTTTTTCTAAAAAAGTGTGACACACCCAGTCCTCTTCTAGACAAACTTGTAAGTATGTGACAAAGGTTTAAGACACAAGAGACAAGAATAAATGAGTTTCTTGTTTTGTTTCAGGTATTTTGGTTTTGAGCAAGAATCTGTAAAAGTATTTATTGGTTGTGTTTTCATTTTCTTATATTAGTACATTTTGCATGTTGAAGTGTTAGTTGCTCAATAGCGTCCGACTCTTTTTTGACCCCATGTGCTATAACTCACCAGGCTCCTCTGGAATTGGTTGCCATTCCCTTCTCCAAAGAGTCTTCCCGACATAGGGATCGAACGCAGGTCTCCTGCATTGCAGGCAGATTCTTTACCATCTCAGCCACTAGGGAAGCCCATGTTACCATTTTGCTAATAAGAATATAAACATCTAATTCATGGGTACATTCTTGTTTGGTCACTGAAATAATTTGTCTCCTAGTTTTATCTTTTAAAGTTAATATTAGTAGTTTTAAGCTAGCCGTCTCCACCCCACCCCTCTTCTTCCTTCCTTCCTTCCTTGTCCTGGCTATACCACATGTATTTATGTAGTGGCAGTCTGTGAGGGAATTTCAGGTTAAATGTGAAGGTCCTTTTTGAATGCAACTTTTAATTGTTACATGAGAACATGGCCCATGAGAGGTTTTTGTTGTTGTTAAATGAAAACTGCTTTTAGGAATAAAGATTCTTTAAGCCAGTAATAAATATACACTTCCAAAATAGAGGCAGAACCCCATCTTTAAGTCACTTATGAAAAATCTAAAAAGGTTAAAATTGACTCCAAATCAATGGAAAATTGCTCAGTTTTGTGTGAAGACCTCAGCCTTGGATTTGCTGTCTTTCAAAATGCCTCTTCAATACTTGTCTATCTCAGAAGTTTTAATTTTTTCAAAACATGCTTTTAAAGTGTTAGATATCCAATTTTAAAATGCACAGTTTCAAATGCCAGACTCGTTTTGACCCCTACCACATGACCTGGAACCACTTTGCCGTCTTTCCCATAGACAGGGAGGTGCAGTCATTCGTATAGACAGCACAGGGCCAGGCAGTGGGTTAGAATCCGCTTTGTGTGTTACAGGTCTCATTTAGACGTTGCCTTTCCTTTGCTCCCTGGATAAGGCTGGGCAGTGAGGCCAGGTTCCATGAACTCCAGTTGATCTCATCCTTGGTCACCTGGTCTCACAAACCAGTCAGACCAGAGAACCAGTGCTCAGTGCCGAGCCTTGTCCCGGGGCTGCTGAGTCAGTGGGATTCACTCGTCAGCCTGGGACTCCATTCTTCCTGGCTAACGTTCTTGTCAATCCATTGTGTTGCCTTGGGTCACTACACACACACTCCATGTTTCTTTTAAATCAAAGCCTGAATCTCTGCACTTTTTTCCAGTTGTGGCCCTGGGCCCAGGGTTTGGTGGGATTCGTTGAGGATGGGTAGTGGCAGCTGGGGTGCAGAATTCTCTAAGATGCACATCTGTTCTATTCCAGCTGTTCCTTTCATGACTTAATACTGAGCCGGTCTCCTGGCTACTTGGCAACTTCTTGCTCAGAACAGATTATTCTGTGAGTCACAGCATTGGCCTAAAACATCATACATTTGCCTACTTTCAGAGGGCACAAAGGGTTAAAACGCTCGCCTCTCTTGAGAGGAGCAGAAGAATGGGGGTGGGGGGGCCATTCAGTCATTTCAATCAGTCTCCTGCCCAGATCTCTCTGAGAAAAAGCATTGCTCCGTTTAGGTATTTAGGTAGGAGTATTTTTAAGAGTCTCCTAGCCCTAAAAATAAAATACATCTTCTTAGAGACAGACTCCTTCCTGCTTTGACACTAGTGTAAAAACAATGGTAATGGTAATTTTAAATACCTGGAGTTTTTAGTTGTCAGTGTTGAGCTTCACTCTTCTTGTACCGTTAACCCTGCTCCTCTCAGCTTGGGGGTGACTCTCCCTCTCCACTTCTGTACTTTTGCCAAGAGGTGTCAAAACTACTCCAAAAAAAAAAAAAAAAGCTTGATTTTGATTAATATAGAGAAACAAGACTTTGCCTGACTGATAATAAAACTGATAAATGACATTTGAATTACTTGTAGCGGTAATTTATTACATAAAATATCTTTTATTTGACATGCGATTAGTTGCTAGAAGCATCACTCAATCTGACTAGTTTAAACATGCTCTAAAATGAACCCCAGTAAAAACCAGGGCTGTCTGCTGTTGGCGTTATGAAATATACTAATCCTGGAGTGAGGAAAAAAATCTGACTTTAAATATTTAAATGATTAATTGGGTTTATATATTTTTTTTACCTTTCTAACCCCCTTAATTACAAGCAAACTCAGGGGAGTTGCTGAACTAGGTGTGCAATCTGCATGCTTATCACCGAGGCATTGTCTGAGTCCTGGGAGGGATTTATGGCCTCCATTCATGTGTGTTCCTGCCGATTTTACATCTGGAGCTTGGGCAGCCTTTCCTTCCCATTTCTTGGCTTTTTAAGGACATTCCATCTCTGAGCCCAAGCCTAGAAAATGGGATTTTCTGGGCTCAGCCCCAAAACGCTCACGTCTGGGGGAGGGTGGCTTTTCCAAGACCACCCCTGGGAGCCCAGTGCTCACAGATCATCACCTCTTGCCCGCCCTCCCGCTTGGTGGCAGGTGTCCCACTCGGTTCCTCTTTTGATATCTGTGGTTGACCTTGAGGTGTTAGCAAATGCCAGTGTCAGCAAAGAGAACATGGAGACCCACCAGACTGGGACCAGTTCAGGTCATCAGTGTTTATCAAGCACCTATGGTGAGACTCTTGAGCATATTTAAAAGGCATTGGGAGACTATTTGAGAGGGGGTAGTTTGAATATACAAGGAAAATGAAATAATAATATATGTTTCCTGGGAAAGTTGGAAAAGAATGTGGAGTTGGTTCTGAGCACAAGTAGAAAGATTTATAGTAGATCACAGACGAGAAGTGCTTCCCAGTGGCTCAGTGGTAAAGAATCTGCCTGAAGTGCAGAAGACACAGGTTCAAGCCCAGGAGGGGGAAGATCCACTAGAGAAGGAAATGACAACCCACTCCAGTATTCTTGCCTGGGAAATCCCATGGACAGAGGCATCTGGGGTCACAAAGAGTCGGACACGACTGAGGGACTAAACAACAACAACAACTATAAGCTCAGTTCAGTGTCATGAGAGATTCAAAACATGATCTTTAAGATTCTTACAGGCTCTCTAAGAGAGATAAGATAAACTCCTAAGAAAAAGATAATAATATAAGCCATTGTGATTTAATGCCAAAATTAATTATACAGACAAGAAACTCCACAGGAATACAGAAAAGAGAAAAATTAATGTGGGCTCAAGAAGTCAGAGAGGGCTTTGTGAAAGTGGTGGGAGGGGAAGCATAGTGTCACCTGGTGTGAGAATAAACCAGTGTTGTCAGGGCTTAAAAGAAAGTCGGGATGAGCTCAGGAGAAGTCAGATCAGGATGCGAGAGGAACTCTGACATTCTCTCTTCTCAATTTGGTTTCCTTTTGTTCAACTTCAAAGCAGGAGTCAGTGTATGTGTCTATGCACAGAGCCTAACAGAGTCCCGAAGGTTAAGTCCTGATAAAAGCTTGATTGAGTCATTCATTCTAAGCGGACTTTTCTTCTTTTCTCCCGAAGAGACAAGAATCAAGGTAGCTTTGAGATACAGGCACGATCAGTGTGAATTTTATACGATAATCATTTTTCTTAGGCTTAAATATCCTCCCCTCCGCCCCGGTCCCTGCCTACTGTCTTCGATAAACAGTTTAGGCTTTTTTAAAGACTGCCCTACAGCTTCAGTTGTCTCTTCTTAAAATAGGATGTAAATGTCTGAGGTTGGTGAAAGGCTTTGACATTTCATTAGAACTCCTGAGAGAGAAAGTGTGTTCTTTCTCAGTCTGTTTTCCCTCTGGCCTGTTAAGTAACAGAAACTTAGCCTTGATTGTCCTAGGTCCCTGAGCAAGTATTTACTGTCCAATGCCTGCTGTGTGCCAGGTGTTGTGTGGGACCCCGGGGATGGGACGATTGAGGTGTGGCTGGTCACTCCCTCCAGCCCCCCTGTCCAGTAGGAAAGGCATTTAGGGGAACACAGCAGTGCTGTGAGGTCAGCCCAGGGGAGGCTGGTGGGACGGACAAGGTGAAGGGCACTTCAGAGAGTGGGAGGGGCCTAACTGGACCTGGGGCATGATGGCTGCCCTGACTAGACAGGATGGACCTGAGCGTCCAGGCTAAAGTGAAGCCACATGGACGTGAACCCATGTGATGGTCAGAGTGGCTGCACCATGGGATGGGAGTATCAGAAGAGATGACTTGAGAAGAAGGTGACAGCCAGGTCATCACCGCGACGGAGGACAGTCAAAATCACATGGACTTCATACTTGGAGATGCATCGTCTAATTATTCATGATACTGTATTACCCTTTTGACCATATAATTCTTAGACTGATATTAAAATTATTTGTACCATCTGAGCAGGTGCTGCATGAAGAATTAGAGAAGACACCCTGGGGTTGTGCTGAATGGGGCAGGTGTAACTCCCTTTCAAATGCCTCCATCCCGACTGGGCCTGGGGCGCCCCTTGCCTCCGTTAGTCCCCTGCTTGCCACCACACAGGGCTGAAACCAATTAAGCTGTGAGTTCCTTGAGTTTAGAGGGTTTTGTTTTTGTTTTTAATCTATGGCCCGAGGCTCTGACTCAGCAGGTGTTCTGGAAACACTTCTTAAATAAATAAATGGTGGTGGACATGTGCTTGAGAATTGAAAGGTGCCGGGTGATACCCTCAACTTAAGGTGGGGGGCCGGGTGTGCTGCCCAGGTAGCCAGTCATTGAGGCCTCCTGCGTCCTCTGGGC